AGAGAGAGAAAAAGAAAGAAAGAAAGAAAAGAATAAAGTGAAAAATAGAATGGAGAAAGCCGATTTTGTGTCATCTTCAACTTAAGGCGCAAGGGAAGTGGAGGTAAATATATATATCAAATATTTTATACACACATATGCTGCATGTATATACATTTATATACTTCTGACATTCTATATTCACATTATTTGTTCGTTATATGCATTCCCCGCAATCAAGATATAGAACATTTCCATCGCTCTCAAAAACTTATGTCTCTTCCCACTTAGTCCCTCCCCATCCCCCAGCTCTAATCCCAGCAGCCATTGTTCTGCTATCAGCATAAGTTTTTCTTTGTGGAATTTCATATAAATGTGAACATATAGCATTTACTCCAAGTCATGGCACGATTCAGTAGTTTGTTTCTTTTTATTGCTGAATAAGTAGTCCATTGTGTGGATACGCTAGAGTTTGTTTTTTCATTCACATATTAATATTTGGGTCGTTTCCAATTTGGGGCTATTTTGAAAAAGTTACTATGAACATTAATGTCTTTGTGTGGATATATGTTTTCATTTCTTGGATATGTAGCTAAGGTGGAATCGCTGGGTGGGTTGGTAAGTGCACGTTCACCTGTATAGGAAACTGAAAGTTTTCCAAGGCAATTGTATCATCGTTAGAATTCTTAAGTCTGGAAAACCATTGCAAGAAGGACACATCCTATGATACAAATTAATTTAAAACATCCCCATTTCAATGTACAATCTTCGCATTTGCTAATAATTCTACCTGGAGTACTTAACTACCTGGGGTAATTAATTCTTTTTTGTCCTATTTTACTGACATAGAAGAATAAATACAACACTTTTGCCTATTACTCTGAAGCTACATCTAGTCTTACAGATATAAATGAAGATGAAGCCTTTTATAGTTCGAGTTTACAATTGATGGCTGAATTTCACTTTAGGAAGCAGTTTTGCTAAAGAAGATGATGGTTTGGGACATGATAATGGGAAAGAAAATTAAGAAGTTGAAATAGGTACTCAGATTGATCTTCTGGGCCCCAGTTCTCTCCATCAGAAAAGTGGACGTAATAAAAATGCTAGTTACTTCCTGACATGTCATGTGAATTAAGACTTAGGAGTTCCTTAGTGGAAAACATTTTATAACTGGTAAAATTTTTTAGTGGATTCATTGAAATGTCACCTTCTAAGAAAACCATTTTGAAAAGAATTGTGCAGAGTGAAAATTACCAGGTAAATTGGAGAAAAATGTTTCTTACGGTCAAAAATTTCACTTGTAATTTAGCTTATCAAGAAATTCTCACAATCTCATTCTCTAGCACTTTTTCCTTTGTCCAGGGCATGAAACCAGTGAGATTTGACACCCTAGGTAATTGGTGGAAATGCCTGTCCTACAGTGGAGAGGTCATCTTCGGGGCCTCTAAAGCAGCAGGGCGTGTCAGTAATAGAGCCCCCGTAATGTGTAACTAGAGACATATGAGTTACTAGAATTAAAAATTATGGCCTACATAGAAAATTAAGCTTTACAAAAATCAGTTTTGGACAATGGAAACTCCTGAAGCAAACAGTCTACTCAGCGCTACATTTTCTAATTTTTGCTCTTGTCATTGTTGTTTGGTTTTTATAGGAATCTATTCCAGAGTGTCTTAATTGCAGACAAACACAGGGCTTCTCCTCATTAAAATTGTCAAAGAAGCCAAATTTGTCTCTATTTTGCTTTCATCTTATTTTCAGCAATTCACAAATCTGGTGTGATACCTTCACCTATATAGTACCCTCAAGACCACCATTTGCTTCCAGGACCATCATTCATTCCTTTGAGGGCTTCAGTGCTTTCCTGCATGTCATATCACACACCTCCATCACAGAAAAACCCATTCTGTTGCCACAGAGCTTCCTTTGGTGATCACATGAATAATAAAAGAGTTAACAGGTATTGAAGAAGAACACATACATACATATGAGCAGTTGCTGTGTGAGAGATTGCAAATCATGGTCAGAACGGACATTATTAATACCTGTAGGAAGAAACAATAAAAATGTGGTGATCTTGGTAGATATAATCCACTTTTTGTGGATTATACACTTTAGAACATTTGTTAAGCTATTCTTTATTGCATAATTATCTACCATTTTTCTTCAATATTATCCCATATTTGTGAACAAGTCTTGGATTTCATGCTTTTAGATATTATCTATTATAAAATATACCCAAGTATTTCTTAAACTATGTCTATATTTTTATGACCATATAAAGAAATAAATTGACAATGTGCCGTTTTTATTTATTTTTCTCTCATTGTCACAATGACTATTTTTTGAGTACCTGCAATGATATTTTTGTGCCCCGAAGCAGAAAAGAAATCCAGAATTGTTTTGTTTTATTCACTTTTTGTTGGTGTTGATAATGTAAAAATTTCACTTTGTCTGAGAGCTAATAGTACCTTTGTATATTTTCTATCCTGAAGATTTTGGGGAGAATTAGAAATTGTCTAAAATTTATTCATTTCAATAAGTTTCTGAAAACCGGCTTGTTAGGAAGGGCAACACTATTTGAGACAGTCATTGAAAAATGAGAAGGTCAAGATGCAGAAACACTGTTAATTGCTTTTAGGTCTTGAACATTAATATCAAAAGTGTGAGGAAACCAGAAATGTGTGAATAGTTATAGTCTATCCTTTTTTCTTTTTTTAGTCTATCCTTTAATTCCCCAAAGTATACAGATTCATCGTTGTCTTAGCCTTACCACATTTCTAGTTGTATTAAAATGTTTCCTAGTATGCTTGTCCAACTAAACTTCTCAATTTACAAACAGTCATTACTTTCACAATAATGTTGTTTTTAAAATTCCTAGGTAACAAAATTATGTTTTAGCTGGGTGTGAGGATTAGTCAGCAGATAGTTGGCTGAGTGCAAAGACGAGAAAAAATATATCTGATCACCATGAACCTTACTCGAAGAAGTACAGGAGGGTCAAATTATGGTATTTCAAAATATAGATAGATGATTCAAGTAAATAACACTAACGAGAGACCATGTTTTTAAAAACAAAACTGAAAAACTTTGAACAAATTCCAGATTGTTTAACAATGGGTAAAAGACATTCATTTAAAGTATTCAACTAGTGAGAATAAACAACAAAAAAGGTGTGACAAATATTCAAAGTAAATTATAAAGACATAGTGGTCAATAGTATTGAAAGCCACTTAGAAGCCTATATCAGATTATTAGTGTTTACTCAATTGGAACCAAATATTTTAAATTTGTTTCAGTAATCCTTATCAGGCTACCTTCCGTATATTATGCAATTCAAGTGATCTTTAAATTATTGTCAAATTCTACCTTAAAGAGAGCTTTCACAAAGGACATGCAATTCATATCATCTAGAGTTACTGTCATTTCTAGGCTAAGTCCCATGGAAATTCATAACTTAAAAATGAAAGTCACAAAGATGCAACTGCCTTCATAATACCAATGTAGCAGTTATAAATATTTCATGAACATTGCATGGGCAGGGGCAGATCTCCATTTTCATGAGTTAGAATTTGTACAGCTAAGTCTCCAGATTTTACTATTCATAATGCACGGTATGCCCTGTAGAGCATTCCATATAATGCTTTTTTAATATTTATGTTTAATGAAGAAATTACTGTTCTGAAAAGAGAACAAGCCAAGCCAAAGAATTTTTTGTTAAAATTATTAGTTTTGCTGAATAGAGACAAAAACAATCAACAGAAATTACCTTGTTGCAGTATCTTAGCATATAAATGCATAACTTTTAGAGGAATACAAGATGATGGATCAAGACACATTAAATCGAAGTGAAAAGGTTCTTTCTAAAGGTTATAACGTTAGAAATCTCATCTTAAAGGAATTCAAAAGGTTAAAATGCAAAGAGCAACTTTCTTACGTGAAAAAATATTAATTACAAATGATATAGTTGCCTACTGTTTCATAGTTTAAATATATGTCTATATATCTTTCTGGATTTTTCTTTTATTCAAAAAACATTTTAGCTTGCTAAGATAATATTACCAAGTACAATAATGAATTGCTATTGCATATTTTAAGGTAATTTATCAAAGCGCATTATCAGTACCTGTCAGAATAAATTTTGCACTAAAAGTAATGAAAAAAAGGACTATTGTATCTGTTGAAATCAAAGAACATTACTACAGCTAAGTTATTTTCAATGGAAAGGATAGGTGATTGCCCTCTAAATGATATTTGTCCCATGAGAACACAGAAGCCTGAAAAATCACAGGAAACAGGCATAAGAAAATGTCTATTCCTTGCTTTTAAAAATGAACATTTAATACTTTATTTCATTTTTGTCATTTTGATCAATGCTTTCAAGTAGATAAATGTTCAAAAATGCTGCACAGATCTTGGTAACATTTACAAAAGCTAAAGATACTGATCGGCTCATGTATAATCTAAGTCTGAATTATTCTTTATTAACATATGCTATATATCATAATTAGATAGATTAGGAAGTCACAAATTTTCTTCTGAATACACTTCAGCAGGCTTAAGTCTTCGAATAATGAAAACAAACAGACTTCAGATTTAGTATTCACCTATGAGTCAGCAGTTTAAATTAATTTTTTCGTTAGACTTAAATCAAGGAAGTCACTAGAAATTGTATAATGTTTCCCAAACTTCACACCAGAAGGTAATGTTTTATTCCTGCTATTATTTAACTGGAAGTAGGAAACTGGTCCTTGCATGTGTGTCTTTGTAATTTTATTTCCCAAAGGCTTCAGTTGAGGAATGTAACCTTTATGTGATAAACTTGCAGTTCACTTGAAATATGTTAAGCTTAGTTCCCTAATGAGTCTAGGTGTAATACCGAGGAGGAATTTGAGAAATAGATCATAGAGCTCATTGTCAAGTTGGATTTGTCTTGCACATCTCCAGTTTTGCTGTTGTTCCGGCATACATTTTGGTCACAATCCTTTAATTATGTTCTATATTTAACTGACCTATTTGAACAGGATCCAGAGCTGGTGCGGAACATCTGTCGCTGGGTTAGGCAATCTGTTCAAGTTCCTTTTTTTGCCAAATTGACCCCAAACGTCACTGATATCGTCAGCATTGCAAAAGCTGCAAAGGAAGGTAAGAATTCTAGACCTACACCAATTGCCTAGTTATATAAGTATGGGCATGAATTATATAGCCATATAAAATATTTTTATGCACAAATATATATCTTTGTTTAGAGTTTAAGAACAGCATTGGGTTGGTTACTTGATCTCCCAAATACAGTAGATTCACACCTGGACAAACTTATAAATGGACTCCAAGCTTTGGCCAGGGCAAATAAGAGCATTTGTAGCTTTTTCTAATAAGCACCTGATTTACGCACAAAGAATGATAAGACAAAACCATAGTCACATAGCCACTCTAAAACAAATGACCTCATAATGTAATCTAGCAATAGCATTTAAAAACCTATATGAAGTGAAAAAAAAAAAAAGATAGCAGCTTCTACAATGTGAAATTTCTTTCGAGTTTCCATTATACTTTGTAGGGCCTACTACACTGCCTTAAACATATGTTCAGTAGATGTCTTTTGAATGAATAAATCATACAATTAGTGCATGATTTTTCAAAATCAGCTATGCTGTGTTCTATCCAGTGGAAATCACATCGCGATTTGCAAAAATATTGTAAATTACCTGGAAAATAATACAAAACATTTGGCATCCATAAATCTATATGATAATTGGAAAAATGGAGTGGTGGTAATTAAAAACTTTTATGTCTAGCATTTTAAGCATAATTGTAGGAGAGAAATTAGTGGAGACTTTTGATGAGCTGAAATGTTCTCAACAGGAAGTAGTAGAATATACTTTTCCTATGTTGTTCGGGTTTGAATGGGTTTTAACAATTGTCCCTTTAAAAACTGCAAGTAAAAAAAAAAAAACTGTAGGTAAATATTGATGTGTTTTTCATAGGTGGTGCAGACGGTGTTACAGCCACCAATACTGTCTCGGGTCTGATGGGATTAAAAGCTGATGGCACACCCTGGCCAGCAGTGGGCATTGGGAAGAGGACTACTTATGGAGGAGTGTCTGGTAAGTATTGCCCTCTCTTTGCATTTTGCTTTCTTGGAGGTCGCTGAAAAATCAGGAGGTCATGTCACAACAGGAGTATCATGTCTTTTATGATCTTACATTGATATAACCCATCACTGGTCAAAACTCCTAATAGTTATGACAGATAACTATTTGAGTGTGAAGGCTCAAATAACTGATAGCACAAGATGAGCGAATACTAAAATAGGGTTTTATGTGAATTCTATTCTCTTGTGGTCTTTGCTTTCCTCAGGATTTCTCATTGTCATAATTTTCTTGTCACTTATTAGTAAAGGCTAATCCCAGGGCCTTCTAAGAGGAAAACATAAGCATCTTTTTTGTATTAGTTTCCACTTTTCCTAAAGTTTTTAAATCTACCTTCTTCAAAAAATCTTGTTTTCATAACTGCCTCGAACAGACCATTAAAATATTGCATTTGTAGCTTCAGCTACAAATGGGACATTTGCAGATCTCATACCTTTGCACACTCATTTTCATCATCAAACACTTGCATTTTAAACAGAAAGAGTTTTCGTCCCAAAGTCCCGTTCATCGTCTTTGCCCTATGCACTCTGTTGCTGTGACAACATGAACTTGGTCTTGCAAAGACAATACTGTGAGGTTCTTGACTGTACTGGTATGGGGATTAATCTCCTTGGTGATAGACAGTGCTGAATATACAAAACATAGCAGTGTCCCACTGCTCAAGAAAGCATTGCTGAATCAGACCAAAATGTGCTTTTGGAATAGGCTGGATGAACACAAATAAAGCACTGTCCATGCTGAGGCATTATGTTTTCAGAGCATAAAGTGTGTCTATGAACCATGATTTAAAAAAGAAAAAAAAAAGATTATATTCTGCTTTTAATTGAATGCTGTTCCCATTCTCACAATGTCGGAAAGAGGAAGGCGGGTGAGGAGCACCTGCTCAGGGTCCAGACACAGCTCCCTTTTATCAGGAGCTATCAAACAGGGCCTTAAATATTATTGTAATGCAGAATAACACGGACCGCGTTAGCATGTGCCACAGAAAGAGAGTCAGGAGGCTTCATAGTGGGCTGTAACGTGCACTATGTTTTCTGTCAGCCCGTTTCAATTTTTTCAGCCTGCCATGTTGACAGCAAGAGAATAAAGGAGGTCACAGAAGGTGCTGAACATTAAAAATTAATAAAAGAACTATTGCAGTAGTATTTTATATAAGTAACACCATTCACGGTTTCTCATTTAAGCTGCAATTTCTGAATATTCTCCCATACTATAACTCAGTCTAATAAAACTACAAAATTACAGCATTAGAAAAAGTCTTTGTGTCGCAGTCTTTAAGCATACACACACTGCAAATTATAGCGGTACCTGAAAACAAGTTCAGCTATACCTCAGGGCCTGTTAACATTTCTATAAAACTCCATTTCTAAGATTTATAAATTCATATATAAATAATCACTTGGGCTATAAGCTCAGCTAAGCCTGAGTGGAACTTTCATTGTAAACAGTAGAAAGTCCTTAACATTTTTAAGGGCTTGTACCTCATTTCTAATAGGGTCTATATTAAGACCCTTCACATTAGACAACCTGTTTTGAAAATAGCCTTCCTCCGTATCGAAAAAAGTAATAGTTTTTCTCCTACAAAGCACTGTTTGCTTTAATTTGAAGGTAATAGAATTTGAAAAAAATGGTTTAAACAGGCAATGATAATAAATTTTAGGAAAGAAGCAAGGCCTATAACAAAGTATCTTCAATACTTAGCCTAGCAAAATTGTGTTAAATAACAATGGCTTTAAATTTTAGGAGTGATAAAAATGTCAAAATGGCTAACTACCATTCTGAGTTTTATCAAATATGGCTTTTAAGACTCCAAATGAGCCTCGCAGTGGTTCCCAACCTTTTGGGAACCAGGGACCGGTGCTCCTATGAGAATCTAATGCCTGATGATCTGAGGTGGAGCTGAGGTGTTGATGCTAGCGCTGGGGAGTGGCTGCAAATAGAGATGTAGCTTTGCTTGCTCCCTTACCCACCGTTCACCTCCTGCTGTGTGGCCTGGGAGCTGGCGACCCTGAAGAGCATCACACAAAATATGCCAGATACTTTTATAAGATTAAAAAAAAATCACCACAGCTCAGTGCTAATATGTTCCCATAGCATGAGAATGTCTACTTTTACAAGAGCTGCTTGAATCAGAGAGTTTTCTTTTTACATGAAAGCTAAGTAGAATTTTTAGATAGCCACCTGAAATACAATGCATATTGTATGTAGGGAAGGACATTTTTCCCTTTCAGTATTCTTTAGCTCTTCATTCAGTTTTAATTATTTTTTCTCAGAATAAGATATCTGCTATTTGAAAAGAAGGTTTTGGTTTATTGAAATGGTGAAATAGTGAGGTGCTTGGGGGTAGTGCATCTGCTACAGAAAATTGGTCGCATTTTAGTAATGTCCTTTTAAAATGCATTAGCTAATAAAGGGAGGCGATAGCATTGGGAAGGCAAAACCTCAGATAAGGAACATCAGTTGAATTATTTCAAGTCTGGAATCTAAAGTAAAGCGATGTTTTCAAACTTTGGTTCCCAACTCACAAGTGTACTATGGAGTCGAGTTTAATGAACTGCAATCAACATTTTTTTAAAGTGAAATAGAATAGAAAACACGTCAGAATGCTTTGCACAGTTAGGAGAAACACTGGTCAAATATCTTTTTCAGTTATACATGTAATACACACATGTATATAATTTCTGTATTGGGTCATGGTATGAAGAGCATTATTTATTGTGTTTAACTTCAAAAAGCCTGAAAGCTATTGTTTTAAAAGGAGGTCTCTTTGTTAAATAAAAATGTCAATTAGCCTACCAAAGTCATTAAACAAAGTAATTTCTACTTGTTGCAGTTTAAATTTATGTCAACAGGGGAAGTTAGCACCCCATTTCAAGGTCTCATTTTCAGCTTTGTAATTTTAGAAATTATATTTTTCCAACTCACCTGTGTGGGAGGGCAAAGTATATGAGCCAAATTCATAATAGAATGATTTATAAACCTGAATTTCAGTTGTAGGAGAAATACCTGGCAATACATTCATGGTCACAGTGTGAATCCATTAAAGGCTGAATTATAGAAGTAAAGGTGATGTCATAGAACGGTATCAGAAGAGATCTTCAGTATTCATAAGGAATATTTTCATGAAATTGGATGGCTAATTAAGCTCTCCACCATGTAAATACTTCTGTTCACATCATTAGGTCTAAAGAACCAATGTTCTCTACCCTACTTTGGACAGTGAGATTTACTGCTGTAAGTTGTTGCCACCTAACTTTCCTTTTTCCAGAATCCATGCAGAGAGTTTCCATTAATATCAAGCAACAGTTTGTTCATGTAACACCACACAGTTGAGTTATTAGTTATTATTCATTTGTTTTTTTGTTTTTTTTTTTAAAGAGGAAAAGAGAAAAAACTCTTTGGCTTTATTTATTTGATTGAAAGAGACACTAATCTCATCAGTAACATTATTTATAAACTCCATCCTCAAGTGGACTAGTCATTATTTTTCCTAGTTTTAGTTTTAAATTCTGACCTTTTCCTTGTCCCTGCCCCCAAACGATGACATCTTAAGATAGCCCAGAGATTACTATCACCTATATAAATGGTGTTATCCAGCTTTGGTGTGACATTTTTACATGAAGTCCTTCCTGTGGACAAGATCCTTTTAGAGATAATTAAGAATGAGTCTGCATGGCATAACTAAAAATATGACTTTTTGGCATCTGACTTCATGAAAATGACATTTATTTATTTACAGCTGCATCAGAGAAAAAGTAATCAAGCATCTTTCAATGAGGTAAACTCATTCGAAGGAGTTTTTGTTCATTGTGTTTTAAATGTTTCTTTTTATTAATGGCGGATAGGCATATTTCTTGTGTTTGTTATGTTATTCCATTGTCCTATACATATTTTGCATATATAAACACACACATACTCACACATAAGGAAAAGATCTGAAATTTCTCTGAAGGAGGAACTTTGAAACGATGACAGATACTTTATGCTCAATATAATTTACCTCCCACAAGCTTGAAAAATTAGCATTGTTATAAATTATTTTATTTGCCAAATTTGTTTTAGTTTACCAAAAGAAGAAATTTTTGTTCTCAATTTCAAATTTTGGATGCTTGTTTGAAATTATTGATTCTATATCAACTTAGTTAAAACAATAGAACACATTTTATTCAATGTTAATAATTACAAATTTTATTACTGACTTCTGAATAATTAATCAGAGATGACCATCAAGATTTGTTCTCTGTTTCAGGAACCCAAACTTACTAATCACATGTAGGATATTATAGAAGGTTTAAGAAATGATTATGTATTTCTCAACAAATGGTAATGGTATACTCCAAAGATACTCTAAAATTCTACAAATAGATAATGAATGATTTGAAATCTAGCCATGTGGACCATTAGACACTGAATCTATCTGGGCTCTTATGGTTACAAACCTCCTAAAAGTGATTTCACTGTAAAATCAACATGGGAAATACCAATAAAAGAAGGTGCAAGTTAGAAATGTTGCCAGTAACTTATAAATCTGTGCCAGTTTAGGGCTGGAAATAATACAAAGTATATAGTTCAGAAAACTTGAGTGAATCAATATAGTAGTTTGAAAAAGGATCTTAAGCATTGACTCCATATTGAATACTTTGTTTTAAAAACAATGACGAAGGCATGAATCGTGGGGACCATGTAGTGACTAAGCTGCGTGCACTCAGCCACTGAGCATTTGGTCAATACAAATGCAGTGTAACCCGCTCCAATCAGAAACTCAAATTTATTTTGAAGTATGTAATAGTAACTATTTGTGTAAAATGGGGAGGATGACAAAATATATAACAGATTGGAAACCCAGAAGTTTCAGTTACGTTTTGCTTTGAATAACTATTTTCATGTATGCAAGCAACTGAGATTTGGGAGGATTGCTTTAAGTTCTTACACTATACATTACAATTATATCATAA